TTAAGAATCTTATTTATTGATTGATTGAAGAAATAATTGATTTCAAGTATAATAATATTCAATAAAGAGGTAGAAAAAAAAATTACTAATTATTTATGCACTTAAGTTAAACGAAATATAAGAAAAGGTGTCACTTTAATATCCAATCACCAATTGAATGTGAAGAATTTAATATACTCGTACATGAATACCCCTCTCATACAATTACTTATAATTGTTTTTCCTTATACAACTTAATCTATAATTACACTAGCGTCAAAAACTTGTAACTTACGAGGGCGGGTCAATAAGTTCGTGACTTTTTGAATAAGACACAGGTTTTTATACAAAAAGTCATTTTATTTTTCAACGTAGTCTCCTTTGAGTTCTATACACTTAGTCCAACGTTTCTCCAATTTTTTTATCCCTTCCGAAAAATATGATTTGTCGAGGTCATCAAAATAGGCATTTGTTTGTGAGATGACTTCGTCGTTGGAGTCAAATCTCTTTCCGCCGAGCCATTTTTTCAAGTTTGGAAATAAGAAATAGTCACTTGGGGCTAAATCTGGAGAATACGGCGGATGAGCGAGCAATTCGTAGCCCAATTCATGGATTCTTGCCATGGAAACTGCACATGTGTGCACCCTTGCATTGTCCTGGTGGAAAAGAACTTTTTTCTTAGCCAAATGCGGTCGTTTTTTTTTAAGTTCCTCATTAAATCGACTCAATAAGTTGGTATAATATTCGCCATTGATTGTTTTACCCTTTTGAAGGTAGTCAATGTGGATTATACGCGTGCATCCCAAAAAACGGTCGCCATGACTTTATTGGCTGACAAACCCATCTTTGCCTTCTTTGGCGCCGATTCACCCCGAGAAACCCACTGTTTTGACTGCTGTTTGGTCTCCGGTGTGTTGTGGTGAATCCACGTTTCGTCCACGGTTACGAAACGGCGCAAAAACTCGTCCCTATTACGGTTGAACAACGCCAAACATTCCTGAGAAGCTGTCACACGGTTGCGTTTGTGATCGATTGTGAGCAAACGCGGCACCCATCTTGCGGAAAGCTTTCTCATACCCAAGTGATCATTCAAAATTGAAACCACTGAGCCATGTGAGATGCCTATGGCTTCCACAATCTCTCTCACTTTCAATCTCCTATCGGATAAAACCATAATTATCATGAATTTTTTCAAATGTTTCGGTTGTAGAGACCTCAACTGGGCGTCCAGAACGTTCGGCATCTTCCGTGCTTGTACGGCCACATCGGAATTCAGTAAACCACTTCTTTACCATGGAAATGGATGGTGCAGAGTCCCCATAATATTTATCCAGCTTAGCCTTGGTTTGAGTGATTATTTTTTTCCGCAAAAAATAATGTTTAATAAGCACTCGAAATTCGCTTTTTTCTTTTCAAAACGCGCGGTAGTCTGCTATTAACGACTGCAAAACACAAATTAAATGACGCGGCTTGTTCAAATTTTGACAGAAGTCAACTGACAGCTGCCTGTTGATAGGTGCAGTGTTGCAATTTTAATTAAAAGACGGGAAATTAAAAAAGTCACGAAGTTATTGACCCGCCCTCGTATTATAATCTTAGTATATTTCTGAAACTGAACCACGAATAATAATAATGAGGAAATAAAAAAAAAAAATAAAGAAACTTCAAAAATTTATGTCACTTGATGCCAGCACAAATTGTTGATCTAAACGTCAATTCATGACGTTAAACTAAAGAGAATAGAATTGTCAGTGTTGTTATGTATCTGATAACTCTGATTAAAATCAAGTTGAAAAATTAGTTCGAGTTATGCAAACGCAATTTGATTAATACAAAGTAATCTTTGAATAAATTTATTTTTATTTGTATAGAAGAAAATGGAAACTAACATAATGCAAGGGAGCACAGAGGTTTTTTAAATTTATGGAAATCAATTGAATTAATGCTATAATATATTTAAGAGTGGCATTTAGCTACGGTATACAATAATATTACTGCCAAATAGTTTTTATAAATAAAATACTTATGCCATAATAGGTCTAGGAATTTTTCATTGTAATATTTATCAAAAGTTCTGAAAACAATAACAACTAGGTAAGTTAGTTATATTCTTATTAGATTTTTGTTGAACTTACAACAACAAAACTACATCAAGTCTCAATAATATTTTTATATTATGAATGGTGAATGAATCAATAGGGTTTATTAAATAGCAACAAAAGTCATAAAAACTATAATTATAATAAAGAATACGTTTATTATCTATATACTTACCCGATATGTATCAAATATACTAGGTATTCGTACAAAATAACATGACTTATGGCTAAAATGACGTTTGTGCTAAGTGAAACGTGCAAATAACTTGTGCTTTCGAAATTAAGACTTTAAAAAACTATGATCAGTTCTTAAATCTTATATTCAAAATTAAATCATCTTAATAAACATTCAGCAATCAGCAAGAAACGTCTGCTCTAAACGAATAGCAAGGTTATAACTTTAAATTTCAAAATCACGAAGACACGTACAGTTATTTTACTATTGCTACTGATCTTGCATGTCGATGGCGCACATCGAGCCACGTGTTAAGTTAATTCGTACGATGGGTATGTGCTTTTTGGTTCTTACAATAATATTGTTAATAATAGATTGACTTCCTACACAATCTACTCTAGAAATTACTTTGAAATATATTATTTACTATGTACCTAGAGTAGTCATGCTTTCTTAAAATCTCTGAGGTGGTGTCGTTTGCCTTAGGTCGTAACGTTCCCTCAAATATAGTATCATCATCAACATCGGCCCTACAACGTACCCACTGCAGGGGCTCAGGCCTTCCTTATGGATGGTTAAGAAGGATGGGCCATGACCCTCCACACTGGCCCAATGCGGATTGGAGGGTATTAACGACTGCAAATGCAGCCAGGACCAATGGCTTCACGAGCCTTCCGTAGCACGGAGTAGCTCGAGATAATAATTTTTTGGACTCTCATCCCATGACCGACCCTTGCGAAAGTTGCTTAACGACAACGGTCGCGGGCCGTGGCGCTTATACACTACGCAACCGAGATCATATTTCTCTCAGTGATAAGTTTTCATTTGGCATAAGATCATTCAAAGTAATGTTTGAAAGCTGTATTCCATTTCTGGGTAACCAATAGGGTTCATAATGTTCCAATTTTATGACTTTCATTAATACATTTCTTTGATCCAACAATTTTTAGATTTCTACCAGGACTATAAATATAACAGGACTTATGGTCCTGTTATAATAGTACTATGTTCATGCACACTCTCACGACCATTCAAAATGTTAGGCGATTATCACCATCTGTCATCCATTTCATTTTCATTTTACATGTAGAAATTAAATTATTCACTTGAGATTGGCAGAATCGTGTACAGATCAGCCACAATTTGAACTGTAGAATGTAGAAGAAACTACTGATATATTTCAACAAACCGAATTAAATTAAATTCGTTAAGAAATTTCGAATGTAAAAATGGACTTACAATTTTGATTAAACAGTTTTAATGTCCGCAATCATAGATCAAACACGTTAACTACTACACCATCGAGCTATTCACTTGTTTGTATCGAAGGGATATAGCCATATTTTTTTGTCAAATTAAATATATTTTGATGATTTTGTAATATTAGTATTCGTGCATGTGAGATTGCGCAATTAATATCGCTCCTCAATTTTCTGAATAGAAAATTAAAAGTAGATCGCGCCGGTCGAGCCCTCATACAATTTAAGCGTATCGTAGACCATGACTACGAATTGAGTAAGCAAATACTTGTGATTTTCCATACATATCTATTCTAAGGGTGTGCGATGCTCATCTATATCAAATGAGGAAGAATTTAAAAAAAAGGAAAGCAATAAAAAAGGACCTTGCAGGAAACTAATGGACCAAAGACAGTCAATTCCGTTCCTCTTAACTAACAAATCAAAAACTGAAATTTGAGAAGTTCGAAACATGGATATCAATACAAAAACGAAAAAGTACAAATAGGATATGAGTTGTTTATTGAGTTTTGAAAACTAATTTACTTTTAAACATGAAAGAAAACCGAAAGGGTCGTCATGGTTGTCAAATCAATAACGTATCGTAGTGATATCTAGTTTGATTTTGGAACTAATGCTTTTTTTTAAATACTTCCTCATTGCACGAAATCCTATAAGTATCTAATATAAATTATAAAAAAATATTTTTATTTTAATATAAAGTTTAACAATATTATTGTGTAGAATAATAGCCGCAGTCGTTAAAAAACTGAACCATATGAAAAGTCTATTATTGTCACCCTATTAGAAAGGGACAAATAGCCTCTGTACTTAATATCTCGTTTAGCTCGCTCTTCAGCGGGTAGTACTCTGTCCTGTTTAAAGAGAAAAGGTAAAAAAAATGTTTTCTTCAAATAAAAAAGCAAAGGGTTCTAGCCAATACATCCAGGTCTTAAGTAAGTATTATAGACATCTATCTTTCAATACGAGACGGGAACACCGTCTTTTTTAGCTGTGCCAGACATGTGCCCAAATTATGCAAATACCATACATATGATAGAGTAAGCCGGATGGGACACTCTCTTGCTAACATCTTTATTAGCGCCATCGGACGGTAAAACTGAAACGCCAATAGTAAATTTAAAAACAATATTTCTCGTTTGAGATATCAATGGCTTTTTGGACATTTTTACAATGTAAATTAATATTTTTACAAATATTCAAAACAATTTACACTTTGATAACAGTAGACAATTTATTTTGCTTAAAAATCAAATTTTATCTTTTGTTTTTTTTTCTGCTATCAGATTCTGGTACACCTATTCCAATTTTATGAACTAAACCCAGCTTAGGCAATGAATATGAAATAAAATGACACCATACATCTATTAGTTTTCGACGAAAACTAAGAACCATAGATATTTTTTTTTTTGGTAGATTTTTTCCTTAAAGGAAAGGCGAAGAGAGCTTAGTCCATACAGCCATGAACCATAGATAATAACTACGAGGCTCGAAGCACAGCAGAGCCAAGAAAGCAAATTGGTTAGGAGCACTATTATTCTATGGCAAATTGACTTTCGAACGTGAAAGCATGCATGTTCTTTGAATTTTTGTGGAACAGGAACATCCATCAAAATTGACGGCGCTACCGATATTACCATTATTTTCGAATAGTGTCAAAGGTAAATATCGTTCAAGAAAAAATAAATATTGGAAAATATCACGGTGTCGAGGGCTTTGAAATTCCAAATAATACTAATACAGCAGCAAACTAGAAGTGATAGCTATTGGTTACTATAGCGTTCATTGCTGAAAAGATAGTTATATAACCTTGAATCACGGGACTTTAGTATTGATCAGTTAATTTTATGGTAAAAATCTAGTGCAGTGAATTTTGTATTACCAGGTAAGTGGCCATTTAAATAAAGTGTATAAAAATATACTTTTTTACGTCGTGAGTCATTACGATATTGTGTAATTAGATTCATGTTAGGGTACGTGTATGAATAAGTTTAAAATTTGGTATTCCAGAAATTCCTAGTGATATAAAATAAATTTATATTTTTTTTATCTTACTTTTCTAGTCAATTCTAAATCAGCTGTGAACATTAAAATAATCTGGTGCTAGATTATCTGGTGACATAGTTTCTATTGAATAAGTTTGCCTTTCTATTTTTTCTCAAATATTTACCAAGCTGATATTGGCAAAAATAAATAAGGTTGTTATAATCTACAATTAATAAGCAATCAATTTGGATTGTTAATATTTATCTAAAATAATAATATCTAGAATAAAGTTTACAAATTATTATGCTTCAAAATTTTGCAAATAAAATTGTGTTTAATATGTATTTTAAAAAGTTAGTTGAAAGGGTATATTTACACAGTGCATATTTAAATGACATTCTGTCTACTAAGTAGTCCAAGGTTTAAGACAATCATTTTTAAATGTACACAGATAAAATTGGATTAAGGTCATAGTAATGGTTAATAATGGTTAACCAAAACAGAAATATTTATTGGTTGCAAATTTTATACTTATTATCTATAAGAAGCATTGACAGTATTTTAATTCTAAAATAAAAAATAAATAAAGTGCCTATTTAAATTTATCATAGCTATTGTTAAGATAAAGTTATTGGAGAGATAACAGTTACAACTATTTAACATATGAAATATTCCCTTATATGTTGCAATTATGGATTAGAATTTATACAGGCAGTTACTTTATGTTTGATAGTCTCTGTACAGTTTGATTATTGATTTTAAAAAGTTCAGTAATAATATGGTTATCAACATCTTTTAGTTAAATTGTGTTTGATGTTATGTAATGAGGAATTTCTAAAATAATATCAAAGAAAATTTTGTAATACAGCTTTATTAGCTATATTAGTAATTTGGTAATGTATGTTAATCTATATAATGGTGTCTAATATTTGAACAAATATATTTTACTATAATATTTGACTTCTAAATGTCAGGTTTCTGACTGATTAAAATAAAGTTTAAAGGCAATTTGTATGTAGGAATAGTATTTCATATGCTATAAATTTCAATATTAATACAACAAAAACATAATTAGTTAAATATGTTATTGAAAAAAGTTTTCTTGATAAAATTGGACCAAGTGGATTTTTTAAGCGTTTTGTATTAAGAATAATTTTCAGTATGGCATTGTGAATGCAAAATTAATCAAAATATAATAAAAATGATAACTGTTCAATAGGTTTTTCAATTCATATATTTATTACCATCTTTGTAATATTGCTTATAATGTCATGTTACTTATCAATCCACAAAGGAATAAAGTTCAAATGATAATATATGTATTCTAACTATCATTATATTTATATTGGTCTGTTTCTTATTAGGAATATTCATAATATGTTACTAAATTGCTTTCATTGAAATATGTTCAACCTAAAATATGCTTGGCGATAATCCAATGAAAGGGAACTTGTTTCTGTTAGATAGAACTATAGCTTTCTTAGTAATAAAAGTAGGATTAGTTCAAGGTACTTCACAAATATTTATATCTACTACTATATTATAAAACATCTCTCTATGTCTATGTTTTATAATAAATTAGCCATGTTCCTGTGACTTTGCATGCATAAATTATAGCCTATGTCAACCGCATGTGATGTAACTACCTATAGATGAAAGAATTTTTAAATTTGGTTCAGTAGTTTCGGAACATATGCGATGGAAACATACAATCAAATTATTTCTCTTTATTATATTAGTATAGATACAGAAATTATGTTGCTCTAGTTTCATTTTTTCTATAACTTGAGCATTGAAACTAAAAATAGGTACAAAAAGTAATTTTATTAAAGTTTTACATTTCTATTATATAATGTAATGATAAGAATATATCTACAAACACTTTGATTAAACAGAGTTTTAATATATTACTAGGTAAGTCTTGCAGCCACAGTATACTTTATTTGCTTAATTTTATTATTGTTTAGATCTGACACTCAATTACAACCAAAATGCATCGGGCAAGAGCAGTATTTCATGCAACTAGTAAAGTCGGCAATTCTGAGAGATTTGCATCATGGCTCCTCAACAAACCACAGGTGAGTAAACAACTCAATTGTTGCCACAACTAGTCTGAAAATAGCTATAAGATTATGATGTCACTCATTCAAATCTATTCCAATAATCTTTTTTATTCTCAAAGATAAAGTCAAGTGAATGAAATACAACCGTGATAAAAATGTATTGCATTGATTTTAAATTTTGCTATCAATGACATTCATATAAGTTCTCATATTATTCTAGAATAAATTTGATGTTATTTTATATTGACTTTTATACTGCTTTCACATAAGCATTTTAGACACACACAAGTAGTTCTTCTCATTCATTGCTTTCATGTTGCATACTTAATATGTGGCTGCAACACGTCAGCCACTTATAAGACAAACAGTCAAGCATCTGTCATATGCATTATGCATACATATGATAGACACGTTGCAGTTATGCATCTGTCATACGTATTATGCTTACATGTGATAGATGCGCTGCAGCCACGCGTCTTTCATATCCATATCTACATATGATTGATGCATTGCAGCCACACGTCTGTCATATATATATGTACATACACCAATGTCGTATATTGTGTCATGGAATATGATTACTGTATGCGAGAAGCTCTACTTACTCTCGACTATATCTTTTATTATATTAAAGTGCACATATTCTAATCACCTACAATATAAAAGACTTAGATTAAGCTTTTATTTTTTCTCTCTACTAACTCTAGCTACATTGTTCAATACAGAAAGCCGCTGTGACAGTAAACACCAATAGGTGGAAAAGTTCAACAGCGGCAGAGCCATTCCTCAATGGATCCAGTTCGGCGTACGTGGAGACTATGTATAATGCATGGCTCACTGATCCTAATTCAGTACACGCGGTGAGTAGTAGAACCTAAGTACCACACACTTTCAATTAGAGTATGCGTTGTATGTTAAACTATGAATCACTTCTTTACGTCATCTTCGTGACACCTTTAATAACCATGAATACTTGATATTGTCATCTTAGATATCTATTATCCAAATCATTCAAATAAAACTTCACGAAATATATCAATTCACACCGTAATTTTTTTTTGCGCAAAATGGCTTAAAGTGGTATCACGCTTTAGCGATGCATCGATTTAAAGCTGGTCGTGAAGACAAAAGAGAAAACGGGACGAAATCAATGCGCCCGCCTTTGAGATACATAGATAAGAATAAATAAGAATAAAGGATGGCGTATAAAGTGGATTCTTTTTTATCTTTGTAAAGAATTTTTAATGCATGTGTGCTGATTTGTAATGCAAAATAAATGTATCTATCTATCTATTGAGAAGCTATTTATCTTAATTAATTATTCTCAAACCGTTACGTTGTTCAATTATGTAAAAGTTTTTCCTAAAAATTTGGCTACAAAGAGTAAGAGTATTTAATAATTTTCCCTATAACAATTACGAGAAGGAATTGTAAAAAATGATTGGATTTTAGGCGTACCTTTGTAATTTTATTCTATAGAGAAATTTAAATTCACGTTTGACTTTCAAGTTTTATTTTACACAAGCAAAACCTATCGATTGTGGTTTTAGGTTTACGCGCCCATCGTGTTTAGAACCTCGTGATACCCACGGCCCCTAGAGACTGGATATTTCTACGCGTTAGAATAAATACGATGAATCGTTACGTCGCATCTAATTCTAATTATCAAGTCGATGTTTGTATATTTTTAGTAGATATAATAGTGGTCAACAACCGCGACTTATGGTTCATCTAAGAACATACAATTTCAAATATTGTGAAAGAAAATGTATTGCATATTAAATAAGCTGTGGACTGAAATAATTCTGTCTGCCTTTATGAACGAAACCCATGGCGGTCATTGAAAAATCACGTCGACTAAGCGACAATGTATTTTTTTGAAGGGCAGCTATCGACTCAATTCGTGACGTGTTTCTTGCGCTTGCGCACATCGTCAGTATTGTTATATAAGTAGGTAGTTTAGTTTATTACTTTCTATAGTATGTGATTTTTCATAATTACTGTTACACTTTTTTAAATACATTTTCTAGTACACACGCCAGCACGTCAGGTTATCACGATATTTCAAATTTATCCAGTTGATTTTAAACGCTACCTTTAAAGTGTTGAGGTTAAAATATTGTAAAGAAATTCCACAAAATTAGGTACATATGTGCTGTAGACTGTAATTATAGTAGATTATATTGTTTACGATTTTTAGTCCATTGAATACATACGATTATCTCTGGTGACATTTAGCCTTACCCTTGACATAGAAATACTTGACGTATGTTTCACTTGAAGGCCGCTTTGATTTTTTTTATTGTTGTTTCTATAATTATTGTTGCAACGCAAGTTGATATTGTCAATAATTGTTCAGGGACAGTATTTTTTATTTAGTCTCTAAAACTTCAGGGACGATATTATTTTTGTGGTCTCTATAATTTTGTCTATGCTTTATCTTGTTTATTTGACTATAAAGATAAAATGTGGCGCAATATATTTTTTAATATTAATTCCTACTACGTTAGGGCTGTCTCTTGAGTGAGTTTGTGAGTAAATACATTGCCTTTCTATAAGGTTTGAATTTATCAGTTTTGAGGAGACGTAATTCCAAAACACAGTATTTGCGAGGAATTAATTGAATGCTGCATAATTGTCTCGGCTACAAAGTGACTCATATTTTAATCATAAAGAGTATAGTTACAAAAGATAGGGTAAAAATTGTGAATTTTAGGGGTGATAGTGATTATTTTTTGGTCAAATTTTTATTCACATTTTGAATGTGCCACACCCTTAAAAGTATAATGTAGTTTATACCAATATTTAATTATAACTTATTTTGACGTTACTTCTTTCTACAAAACCAGTTTAAAGCGAGTGATTTTAATGTGTAAATGCCCTCTTAAAACTAAAGCAAATAATATCTTTGACTGAAAGTACATAACCGGTAAGAAGTCGACCGACAATGTCAATTAGCTACAAATCGTCGAGAATTATTTTATATAATAATCTGCTTTAATACCTGAATAATTTTCCGTTTATTAAATTATTTTATTATTATCACGGTAAAGTCATTTATTTTCCGAAATCGTAAAGTACCTAAGTAACATATGTAGCACATAAGGAGAACTCTTGATTAATTTATACATTTAATTATAAACGTGGTCATTTGATTAAGTGGTGTAGAATTAATTAAACACATAGTAGGAGATGGTAAGATAATGTTTTTAATCATATTTATATGTACAGTGATGTATTTTACAAGATATTTAAAGATTTATTACTTCTAGACTGTAAAATATCTGTATATCCATCAAATATTAACAGCGATGGCTGTGGAAATGATTGAGAACTTTAAACTAAAGTACTGGATCGTAGACATAATTATAGTTAGTCATCAATAATATCAAAATTCATTATTAAATAATTCTTAGATAAACTTAATAGCCCTTAGTTACGGACATCTGAAAAAAAAACGATGTTACACCCAGACCCGATGTTATAAGAGTTAAATCTTCTACACTGAATTGACCGATAATATGAACTCGGAACCTCAGAAGTGGTGACTTGAAATCGACCAATAAGCCACTATGCCACACATATCCCGAGTCATTAATGAATTGAAAATAATGAAATTGAAATTATTCCTCACAAAAATAAATATCTATTGCGTTCAATATAATTAGAACTTAGATTAAATAATGATTAGAAGTTTAATAATCTTACTAGTTTCTGTCTAATTCCGAAGTCCATGCGCGCCGATCGGAGATTGCACGTCCTCCTCGTAAAGTGCTATTCTGTTATAAAATAGCTTTGAATTCGACGTCGAGCACAACGCCGTCATAGCATTGAGGTTCATTGTTAATAAACCTACTTCAAAATATGATAAAAGTGTTATTTCATCAAAGCTCTATGCTGTCACGGCACTGTGCTCAACGTGGAGTTAGAAGTTGTTTTTTTAACAGAAAAGCATCTGACTGGGGGATAACACTCATGTATCATTAATTTATATCACCAATCCTAAAAGGCATTGAAATGGGGTGAATGGCGCATTGCCTTTCCTTTCGAACAGTTTTAGTGGCTATGCCTCATCGGGGTTGGATCCGCAGGGGAGAGTCCCACATAACATCGCTGACCGTGCTAGGAAGGCGGGGTATGCGTAATTAAAATTTAAAATGCCCTTCGTTAAAAAAGGCGAATTAAAGGGCACAAACTATAGTTTGGAGTTAACAATGAACGTATATGCTCTCGGGAAATGTGATGAAACGAAATTGCCATTGCATGCAAGGTCAATTGGCAGTAGTTTCATAACTGTAACCGGTTATCACTTGAAATTGTTGGTCAGCGTAGACAGTTTATCATGAAGTTATATTTGGACATGATGTTAACAGTTTTTATGCAGTTTTGCCGTATGAAAAGATATTATGTTCGCAGTTACTTGGTTATCCTTCTAATTGTGATACATTAGATATCCTATTACCATTACCTAGACTGAATAAATAATTTTGATTTGATTACTTATTGTAAAGTCTTAATACCGAATAGGAAGTGTAAAAGGATGAACCATCGAAAACAGGTTCCAACTGCCTTTTAGGTGCTGGTGGTATTATTTTTGTGTGATACCTAATTCATTGTATGTGCGTATAGTTTACAGTTCGTTATTTGTTATATGATCTTTTTGTATGGATATGAAAGTTTTCAATTTTTTTGAGGAATAATGTTCGTGTTTGGTAAAGGAGTGTGTATACACAAACCTAGTCGATAAAATGTAATTGATATTAGCGTATCAAATACGAGTATTTTAGTAGTGAAAATAATAAATCATAATTATCAACGGATCAGGACATGAGAATTAATTAATTTCCTGATATGAAATAAGTAATAAATAAAATATATTTTGAATCACATCACTATGCGCGTTAGTAAATTTTTGGGTCAAAAACTGACATGATTCTTTACGCTTTCGCAATTATCTGTGCTATAAGACGTTGCTTCGTACTAAATTTCAAGATTCTAAGTTCATAGGAAGTACTCTGTAGGTTTTGATTCCCTTGTGCGTTTCGAAAACTTTGCGGCATAAACGGCAGTATTTTTTGGTTGCGTTGGCTTAGATGTTTGATTTTTTCACAGCTTTAACAGACAGTAGAATTGATACCTCCACGCGTTCTTGAGAAAAAGGGTGTTAACAGACAGATTTACGGAAGGACAACAAAGTGATCCTATAAGGGTTCCGTTTTTCCTTTCGAGTACGGTACCCTAAACTTCAAATATTTTTGCATCTACCTACATGTTCTGTTTTGTTGCAGTCGTGGGACGCATTTTTTCGTAATGCGACCGCTGGCGCCCAACCTGGTGCCGCGTACACATCGCCTCCGAACCTCGCGCCGTACAATAAAAACGAAGTTCCACTAACAGCCCTCGTACCAGCTTCCGGTGGAATGCCTTCTATTGCTTCAGGTTTGATATAAATCGTCCATGTTCTTAGTAACACTTTGATAACCTACTGACTTCTCCTGAGACATTTACAGTTATATACATAAACATCCCCTAATTTACCTCCTTCAAATTTTGTATGTGGGTTCTTTTTAGGAAGTAGGTGCTCACTGAGACCGATTTTTCAAAATACAAATTTTGAAAAATCGGTTTACAAATTTTAAAAAAACTCCTAGCACTTGTAGCTTCTGAGATTTTGTGATGAGTGACTAAGTGAATGACCTTTCGCTTTTATCTATTATAGATTTAATATTGTGTTGGTTACAGTGAATCATATTCACTTTTTATTTCTCTTTCTTCACCTGCTATTATTGAATATAAAAAATAAAAAAGATGAAGTGACATCTTGATGATATTTATGATATTATCTGCTGTACACGGAGGTCAATGACCATTTTTAGTCAATTTACCTACAGTTTGTACACTGCTATTACAATGAAAATCTTAATAAATATTAAATTATCAATATTGGTATTCGAATCTGTCATTAAAAAAAATAGTTCTATTAAACGACTCTGTATGAAATAATATAGACGTTGCCGAGTTTCTTGCCGGTACAAGGTCTTCCACCATAGACTTACGTGCTTTGTAACGGCCTAGACTTAATGAATGATTTTGATTTGATTTGATTAGTCTGATAGTATGATTCGTTACAATTATTTTGAATGAGAAAAAAACAAGAAAAGATCAATATCTACAGGTGTACTTTATTGTGAAGGCTAGAAGTTTTAATTTTACAGGATCACCAATCAACGAGAAGATAATTGACGACCATTTAGCGGTTCAGGCCATCATCAGAAGTTATCAGGTGATTACTATTCCAATTGTCGACACATAGAACACTCACACTACTGTCCTACATAAGTTGTTCGTTATTGTTTGCACATTTTGTATAGTCTTCACTTGTCCTATGGCTAAATCCCTTTTAGCTCCCATTCGCCACGTTGATAATTCCAGTCATGCTAATTGCACTGAGCGATAGATTATATGTATACACTATGACGACATGCATACGGAAATGATAAAAAGCTATATAATGTATTTGAATCTCAGTAAATAGTCTGATAAATGTACTCGCCATTATAGCTCTTATTGTTTAAATTTTGTTTTAGGTAGGTTTAAATTGAACTCTATTGGCGTAAAAATAAATTTTATTTGTAAAAAAATGATCGGATTATCAGTTCATTGGTGAGATCTTTCATTTGAGCCTAAATTGAACATCACGACCTAGCGACGCTTTATATCTCTTAGTATGTTTTGAAAATGTTACACATATCTCCTAGTAACCTGTTCAATTTTTTTACACCACGTTGGGCGCCATTTTTGCACCACGTTGGGCGCCAATATTATTTTGGTATGTATATTGAGCAATCAGTCGTTGGGTCGTGGTTATATCGCTTGGGCTAAAGTGACGATATGGTGGCGGCTGCCTGACAGGCTCGCGGTCACCTGGCGGCCGATGTGGACCCACTTGGCATCACGACGGCCAACCTGCCCGAACTGGGCATGCGCGCGCCGCGCTCCGAGCTCATCATGAGGAAATATTTCAATTTCGGTACGCTGCAACCAAATGAGACGAGTCGATTTATTGGAAGCAATCACTTTCGTCAACGATCATGCCGTTGATAGTTAGACTTAGTCGAAAATTGTTTTGCGTGTCACTAATTATTGTTTACGTCCAGCGATAGAATTACATACATATGTACTTACATACAATAGTTGATTTACCGATGACAAACATTTAAATAATAAATATTAAATTGGCCTCTTAATTAAATCAGTGATTGTTTTCAAAAACATTAATTAATAAATTGATTTCATCAGTCTTGGTATACTTCCTGTTTGTAATACGGTCACAATATAGTGTCTTCTTAATTAAATTATCGATTATAGCACTTACAATATTATAGATAAATGGTGTATGTATATGCATGTGTATGGTATATTTCGCTGTTTATCGATATCTAGTGTTCTACTTAATTTGTTTGCAGTAGCATTTATTATTTTGTCTAAAATCGTTTTGTAGCAAAATTTATCTAACATAAATTTTTATACATTCGTTTCATCTAGTTTTCAGTCATTATAAAATCTAATGCGTTGTATTAACAAAACGATTAATGTTCCGAGTGTTATCTTTCTCTTGCATTATGTTCTTACTAACCTTCAGGACCGATTTCGAAGATGGCTAGTCTCAAATTACTGAACAAATAAAAGCTCCGTTAGCATGTCCTGCTTGAATTTGCGTCTTATTAATTAATATATTTCTTTTTTTTTCTTTAATCCGTTAAAATAATTATCCATTTCATTAACTATTCGCTCAGTATCAGGGTGTTTCTCGCTTTTCTATTTATTTACAATTATCGATAGTGGCGTTCATATAATAAGCATTTAATGAAACTTTAAAATTGCTTATCGTTTATCCCGGTGCAAAGGTTCGCAGCGGCCTCGTAAAGAACTTATTAACGCGATGTTTTTACAAACGCGCGTTACAAACTACATTTATGATGGTAGTGATGTTTTCACATACGTAGTCTCGGGGTCATCTCGTGGCGCACCTAGATCCTTTGGGCATCGCCACCGGGGATCCGACTTCGAGCGGCGAGTGGCACGGTGGATTACGAGCCTTCGCTAACGAGGCTGTTATTAGGCAACACGTGCGATTCGGTATGAAGCATTCCACCAAAATATATATTGCAATTGATATTGGGATGTCAACTGGTATTGCGTTTGAGTATAATTTTTTCCGATATTGTCACGATAAGATAATGAAACGCTGTCTGATCATCGATAGATGATGGAAAATGTATTTATCTATAACGTGATAATGATCGTAGTGATAAGGACAGTGTTGGCAATCCAGTTAACATTATTAAACTTCAATTAGCAATATGAGTTTCGAGTCGGGTTAGGTTTCAAGCTTCCCCTTTCACTCGCAATGTGGTAGCACCGAATCTTCCCATTTGGGCGACTCGTCTCTTGTTTTGTCGGTTTTTTAATTAGAGGGCGTAACTTTTGCTTCTAGTATTGGTGCTTGGTATGTAGTTAGAGTATATTTAGAATGTGACACCTACGGTGCTTGGAGCGGTTACATTGTATGATACATTCATATATAGTACTTATATATAGTATTCGTTGAAGTGCATAAGAAGATTATTTATACGTTTCGATTGGTATAAAAAAATTGAGACTAGCTTTTTGGAAAACGATTCGGTCGTAATACTTAATCTTATCCTATTTAACAGCTGTTTTGTATAATTTATTACCTGACACAGTGACTAACGCTATCATATTCCTTTACTAGATGAAGATATACCAGTACTTATTATGTAAATAACTTCCCCAACCTATAGCGAAATATTAAACATTCTGCACATGATTAAATAAATAAATTAAGATTTAAAAACAATTCAACACATATCTTGGTTTACATAAAATTTATTTGGTAACATGTCCAAAAAAGAGTACATTTAATTTTTAAATTAAAATTGTTTCTCTGGTCACTGTTTACTAGGCTTTTTTAACGTGAAAATGAGGAGAATTTGAAGTGTCCAATCAAGAACTGCAATATAATCATAGGTGCTTATATGCAGATATTTAGTTTTCTCAGTAAGATTTGCAATCTTTAAGTACTTTTGATAGGTATTTAATAATAAAAATGGATTAATGTGAGCAAAATTATAATGTATCTGTTGCTAATCAGCATGTATAATAATTTTGTATGTACCTAAGTATATTGTTGCGGTTATTGCAATGAATAAATAAAATAAATAATGCATTAGAATATGAATTCATAATATTTTCATCGACTTCATCTCATATTCAAGCCGTGTCGTAAAACATTGTATTATTTTATGACCAGGTTTTAAAAGTTTCCTTATGTATGAGGAAAATGGTATTAGAAATTTAAACTGTTTATTACTAAGACGAGCACGAGCAGCTTTTATTTTAACATTTCGAAACGTCGCATAGTGCTTATGATTTGTATAAACTCCTAATACTTATATGTTATACACTGCTACGTTTTGTAAAACATCACCAAGTTTGATTTCGTCACGACAGTATTAATTTTGTTTTATTTATGCTTCTTATCGAAAAGACATTTACAACTAACTACAGTATAATAACAGCAGAATGTTCCGTTGCATACTAAACAAGTATATTGTGAACTAAAAACAGATCCGTGGACACCATATAGCGAAACTCGACCCGTTGGAAATAGCAAACTACAAATTGGCCGGTAAAAATCCCCGGGAGGTGATACACAACAGCTACAGGTTTGGTAAGGAGACAGAACCTGAATGAGCACCCTGGCCGCTAGGTGTCCTCTGGTAGTTATGGCGGCGCAGTGACGTACCCGGCTGTAGGTTTCAATGGTGCCAACCAAAAATTATTGATCTAAATGAAGCTCCTTTTTATTTATTGCCGTTTTTGCTTGAGGTTTTGTCTAATTTTTACTTGCGTTGTGTTTTTACCCTGCAACGAACGTAAGCGAAGTGTGATGGTGTAGAGGGTTGAATAGTTTTTGTAGATAAAAATGGCATGAAGATAAAAATGTGTACAGTCAGTATATGAAAATTTTGAAGCGTTTTTAATTATTTTTCTTATAAGATCTTCCTGCTCCCTATTAAGTTTGCATAGCGCTTAAGAAAATAAACAATTGGTGTTCCTTGCGCGTAGGTTGACTGTATAGATAACTTTCATTTGAAACGTTTGAAACTATGTTTTATTTGAAACTGGAATTTACAGTTTTATCTCATTTCAAAACTGTTTTTTGATTCAAAGCCTTTTACAAAGTGCCGGGTACTTTATGAACAGATTTCGTTTGTTTCTCGAATTTCTTTTTTGACTGTACTATTGTGTTTTTGCACTTGTGGTTACGTAAATTACTTTGACGATAATATAATGATTTATAATTATGTAATTGTAGCATTTTTTTATTATGATTTGCAATTTTTATGATTTCTGTTCGTAAACTTCTAGAAGCGACTGTACGCCATAACTACGTAACATACATTATGTGTTCGTAACGCACGTTGGGTCTTGCCAAGACGCACATTCACCAATATCTGGGTCTAGTTCGGTCTTCCGAAGTTAAGTGCACTATCTTCTTTCAATTTCCATTACCACCTATTATATTGCATGCAAACATTTTTCTTTATCAATGATTATGATAAGCTATTGTAATTTCAGGGTCTTGAAAGTCTCAAAAACCGGTCATTCGTTGTATTTGCACGTATGCATGAATATGCTTTTTTTTAAATATTTATATTTATTTGCATAATTTTATTATATAATAAGTATTGTGTGATATAGATGATTCAAAACAAGGTCGATTGTACATTTGACATTGAAAACATTCGTCACGTGTGTTCACCGCATGTCTCGCGTTGGACAGAGTCCAATATATCTCCTTTACACTATCACCGAAAGGTATACATAGAACTAGGCCGTTGGTCTATTATTTTTTCAAACATCTCCGTAAAATCGGGAGTTTGGGTAACGCAAATTTTGTTTGAACCACACATTTGGGAACAATTCTCATAAATTCATCAAACCACTCTAGTAAAGGTATATGAAATTAACAACAAAAAGCTTTTTATGTGCTTTAGAAGGGTCATTTAAATCTTGCTTCACCTTCAATTTCATGTATTACCAAATGTTACCCTCTTAAATTGAAAGTCACTATATTATTATTATTTCTTTTTAAGTGGGTTATGTTTTACTTCTTCGTTTCTATGATGGAGTGACTGTTTATTGATTCATGTTTTTGAAGATTTAACATCTTGAATAAGCATGCTCTTATGATAACATATTTCTTTTAGATGAAGCTGATATGGACAGAGTATTTAAATTGCCTTCGACAACGTTTATCGGCGAAAAAGAAAAAGCCCTTCCGTTAAGGTAACCATTCAGGCTAGATCGTATTAATTATTACTTTACACACACTTTATGTATCAGTTATTGATGTTTAGTGGTAAACAATTAATTATTTATTTTTCTTATGTTTTATTCGCTCCCTTTAAAATAAAACTCAAACCGTCTTATTATAAAATAAGGACTTATTTAAGTACCAGGTTTAACCCTAGAAGCCTGATTGACGTCTACGAACGTTTTCTAACGGGTAAAACTAGTGTATCGTGCTGTTAACCAACTCTGAGCTTGAAGAGAGCTTGTCGATAGTGTCAGTATCACCAATATAAATCCAGCCATTTTGAATATGGAGGTATGTACGCCTGCGTGACGTATGATTAGCCATCAAGATTTTATTACATTTGGATGAAAAATGATTATTCGTCATTAGAAGTTCGATAACTATTTACTTAATATTATTTTAAGTAACAATGATTGAGTGGAAAGAAATAAATTGTAAGAAATAAATACAAAAGATTTTTTCTGAGAAGGTGATTTTTATATTTAAAAATAGTTTTATTTGTTATTTTATTGTAATATTTAACCGTGATTGCTGTTTCATTTGATAAAACTGTTTATTATAATAGTCCTACTTTACATATCTTTAAAAATAATTAGTATTGTATAATTTTCTTTACATTTTGTAATTTCCTATGTACGCTTCTGAAAAGTATGGCTTTGTGTAACTCTCCTATAGATTCATCTTCTAGGGTTAAACCATTATCTAGCCAAGTTAACGCGTCTCAATTGACGTTTTCTCTTTTGTAATTACCAATCTGCTTTAGGCGGCCAGTAGTTTTAACCAAGCGCTAACATTAGCCTTCGTTTTATGATAAGACAGCAATTGACATGAGACCTTTATGCATGTATATAAAAGAACATATTTACTTGTTGATCATATCTTCAAAAATACGTAAACTTTCCTCTTTAATTGAACTAGCTTCCGAGAAACGTGTAACGTTTATAAATATATCTTTTTATCTCTACTTTAGGGAAATCCTGAATCGTCTAGAAGAGGCTTATTGCAACAATATCGGTATAGAGTTCATGTTTATCAATTCATTAGAACAATGCAATTGGATAAGACAGCGTATGGAACCACCCAATGTTACAAAGATGAATAACGACCAGAAGAGGTTGATACTTGCTCGTCTCACTAGATCTACTGGGTAAGTGTTTCTCCAATAAAGTTTAGGTATTTACGTTGAAAAATATACCTTAAATATGTTTGTCTGCGATAAAAATAATAAATATTAGACAAAGTCATATGTATTGCTCAATTTCCAAGATAAGTAGTTAAAGCGTTCGTATTATGGAGTATCTGAGACAACGAAGGGACCACAACATTGAGAAAGGAAACAATATAGAAAAGTACCCCCAGAGATGGAGGCGCTTTGTTGTTTATTTATTTAATTTTTTGTGAAAGAGTGATTGCGAAATATAAGCCATAAAATTATTCGGTGATGTCGTCATATACATTTATAGCATGTATTTTTGAACGGAATTTGACGTGAAGCTTTGAAAATCTTATATAGTAATAATTTTTCTATAGATATTTGCAATTTTACTATTTTTATGAATGTTTTAATTATAGCCTACATTTCCCGCGTTTGATGTAGCTTTTAGTAGCTGTAAGAATTTATAAAATCAGTTCAGTAGTTTCGGAGCCAATTGAATGCAAACAAACAATAAGTCCTCTTTATAATATTAGTATAGAACACTACCATTTTCCGAATGCATATTGCCATCTCCATTGTTTTTTCTCATATAGATTATAATACCCTATTGAAGAAACCTTTGTTGTTGATTGTAATGCTATACTTCATCAATCTACGGTTTGAAAATGCATTGTCCTAGATACTGTCCGCTAGACAATAATAGACTTATCTTATCAGCAAATATAACTTGTTTGCAGACATACATAATATTCGAAAGACACACCGAAAGAAAACAAAGGCCATATATCACATTAATTTTGTGAATGATGAATTATTTAAATTTATATGTATCTCAGCTCTCCGTAAAAAGTAAACCCCCCTACTTCAGTAAGATTAACATTCTAATTAAAATATATGACATCTATGGATATGTTGTCAGATCTTGACTTATTAGGTATGTAACATTAAGTGAGGTTATAATTTATATATTGACATTATATGTTATTAATAAGTCACCTACTCATGAGTCACAGACATCATAGGAAAGTTCCTTTTCTCATTAACTTGTACGAGAACAACATATAGGAACCTTGGAGATATGACAGGAAATCTTGAACAGCGCAGGTATCATAGCCGTACAGAGCTGAGATAAATTAACATAGCCAGGGATCACACCCGGGACTTCAGAGGTGGCAATGTCTTGAAAGTCGATAGGTCACTGAGTTTGTTAAATATACGCTACTTATTGAAATAGGTCATTGGCATATGAGAATATTTATACTAGCGCGAAACACTTGTTGACATTGACATTGTCTGGTCATATGACCACGCGCTGGAACTAATTTGCAGTGGTGAAGGTCGCTCGATAACGGTTAATTTTTTAGGACGTGTTTTTTTTTCGTTTAATTGTAGTACGTAGGCGGGTTTTGCCGTATATCGCTTTTCAATTCGTAATCTGCAGGATTGATTAATTCGAGCGTCATTTGTTTTTCTGGATGACGCATTATAGAGGTACTTAATTGATTGCTGTGAGAAATTTGTTTTAATTTATTTACATTCAAAAACGATTTGATAAATCAGAGAAAAACTAGATGGTTCATATTTAAATAGTTTAAGACTACAGAATATTTTATATAACAAGGTATACATACCTATGTAAAAATATGTGAATTAATATTGTACATTGCAGATTTTCTTTGAAATAGTATTGTTTGATAAAAAAATGATATTCAAACTTAACATAATGGTGAAACGTGTTTTTATTTATATCCCACAACTGATTATAGTTGTCTTTTACTGGTAATACAATTGAATTATTTCTCACTTAATAATAAAATAAAAGTTTTTTCAATTTGAAAATCAATATATTCCCACAATTGATTACAGTTGTCTTTTACTGGTAATACAATTGAATTATAATAAGTGATAACATACTTTTTTCAATACATCATAGATTTGAGAACTTCCTTGCAAAGAAATGGTCGTCGGAGAAGCGTTTCGGTCTAGAAGGATGCGAGATCCTGATTCCTGCCATGAAACAGGTCATCGATGTCTCCACAAAACTAGGCGTCGAGTCAATCATCATGGGCATGCCTCACAGAGGTAATTATTGTTCTATTTTAAGGCATAGATGGCACTGCGTATAACGTACGCGCAGTTTAAAACATTGCGGTTCTCGTTTTAAGCGTACATTTTACAGTGTTACATTTTTTACGGTGCTAGTTTTGCGTGCGTTTACTCGTAATACCGCCTTAAGCCTGCTCGTAATATTGGATACGCGCTACGCAGAAATATAAATATCTTGGAGTTTCAATATAAATAATGTAAAATTTGAGTATGAATTAGCAGTAATAATAAATAGTATAAAATACAATTTGTTTTTGAACTTATTAATCGTAGCTATCTTTACATTGGGTGACTATACTGAATTCTGTTGTCGTTTAGTTCACTTATCTTCTGACACGGTTAATAACTGTGTGGATCAAGGTTTTGTGCTATGAATAACAAAAAAATAGAAGGTTGTAATCATAGCTTCGTTAAGGTATATTTTGTGTTGTTGCTAATGTTTTATCAATTTTATTGTTTCTTTTTACATGCAACTTAATTTAGAAATAAAGAAACTATAGAGTATTGTAACCATAAAGGGTTTTGAGGGCTGTATTTTGACAATTCCAACATCAGTATCCGTAGAAAGAGAAATAAACGAAAATAATATCAGTACAAACATAAATTGTTTGTATTGGTATTTACGCAGTGTCACCTACCTCCAAAAAGTGAACCACAATTTTCTATATAACAAAATTCGGCATATGTATAATGCGCGGTGCTTAAGTTGAAACAAAATAACAAAATGAGGTGCGGGGGTGAAACGCAGCCCGTAACCATAGCAACGCAACGTACACCTGAGACCAGAAACTGCAAGGAATATAATATTGTTTCAATTTACGTACCGTGCGTTATGCTTGATACGGAATCGTGATTTGATAGTCAATAGTGTTGATTCATTATATATAATATAATTTAATATTATTAGGTCGTTTGAACGTGCTAGCCAATGTGTGTCGCAAGCCTCTACATCAGCTGTTCACGCAATTCGCTGGACTGGAAGCGGAAGATGACGTACGTAAATACAGTTGTTAGGTTAGATAGCTGCATAACCATAAATCATTTTGACAAAGTATATCGATAAAGTTTTAGATAACGCACACCCACATATGTATATGCAATACGATGACGTGATCTGTGCCGTATGTTCATGGTTGTAGCGTTGATAATCGATTACCATTTTCTAAATACAAATCACGCAATATGACGTATTTTTGACGTAAATGTATAAGGTAATCTGAATTTAGAACAACCGTACAAAGTGCGACACTATTGTTTCACTGGATTTGTTGTTTTTGTTAAACTTAGACTAATAGTAACTAGTAAATATCCTCGTAGTGAAAAAAACATGTTCTGAAACAGTACAACATTTGACAGTGAGAGTACCATAAAATCTGAAATTTCTCCAAGCGATTTTAATCTTTAATAGATAAGTTCAATATTGACTGTAATATTTGGCTATTTGAGTACTGATGTGCTGCTACTCAATCGGCCGGTTTCTGAATTGAGAAAGTACAAAATCTCAACTGATTATTCTTAATAAATTAAGTTTTTTACGTTTCATATGGCAAAAAGTATTAGATTTACCAAATTGCTATCAACTGATAATTAAAAATTTATAAATCAGCAATGAAAACATGTTTTGATGACATTTAAAGTGGCTTAAGCACGGTTTGAGACGTGCTCAACTTCAAATTATCAATTCAGAAACCGGGCGTATGTCTATCGTTTATAAAACAAACGACTTTCACATAATATATTTATAAAAACAAACATATACAACAAATAGAAATATAAACATTCATGCAAAAGGGGGGCATATTGCTAAGGTAGCAATTTCTATCAGACTTTGACAAATGGAAACTACCATTTTAAGAAAAAATCAATGTGTTAGTGCATTAAATAAATATACTTAATAAGAAAAAAGGAACAGAGTGACGGAGAGATAAAGTACTATAATGAAGAAAAGGTTAACATCACAAAATAAGTAGTTAATGTCAATCATAAATGAAGTCTTCACGATATTTATGGTTGTATACCAAACCGATACCTAACCTAACCTAATTAAACAAAACAACATTCTGAAGTAGCAGACGATCACGGTTATCCTCTGAATTTTACCATAAGTATTATTTTAATTTTTTTTTTATCAGGGGTCCGGTGACGTGAAGTACCACTTGGGTACATATATTGAGCGCTTGAATAGAGTTACGAACAAGAACATTCGCCTCGCTGTATGTGCCAACCCATCCCATTTGGAGGCAGTAGACCCCGTGGTACAAGGAAAGACTAGAGCCGAACAGTTCTACCGTGGTGACAATGAAGGCAAAAAGGTAAGATAGTTAATCCAGACTTATGTATATACGTCACTTACGTTGTAAGTTATTTTAGTTGGTAATCTACCATGACCATACACAATTTTACCCTGACATGCTATGTTGGTACAAAGTGTTTTGATGAAATAAATATTTCTGTATAATAATTTATAATGCGCTTATGGACCAGGATTATCTGAAATAAAAGAAACCTAGGTAAGAAACCTAGGAAAGTTATACAAAACGAAAAAATCTCAGAACGATTTAAAACCTTATTTCGTTGATTTGAATTTCAAAATGGATTAATTTTTACTGTGTATGCGTGTTTTTGTTCCTGGTGTCGGATACAAATAAAGCTTTAATAGAATACACCTAATACATTTTTAGGGTTGAGATTAACTTATAACTAAATTATTTGAAATAAGGTTGGATTTGCACAGTAATGGGCGACACAATATGATAGTAATGTCCTGACGTTAATACTGAATTATGTAGAAAATAGACCTGTTTAACTCTAAGACCTATAACCTTGCGCCAGTGAGTTCAGAGAATATTTTCACACACGAAACAATGCAGTTGAACATGAAACTTATACAATGACTTACAATAATATTTTGTAATACAATAATGCTCAAAATAAGTTATGTACTTTGAAAGTATAGTATGAAAATCTTTAGTGGATACTTTTTCAATTTAGACTTGTTATTGGTATTACATACAAACATAAGCCCCCATAATATTTCTATGTTATCTGCAAAACGCATCAGAACATTGACGACAACGGCTTCATAGTAAAAATATTTTTCTGATACATATTAATGAATGAATATTTATGGCTATTGTGTTCATAAGAAAACAACGACATCAATTTAACTTTCAAAACGAGTATTTATTTGTTTATTGTAACGCCAACACCGTTAAGATTAATTACTAATAATCCTATATCCAACTCAATTAAGGCATGTCTGTTCAATGCAGAATGAACACAAATTCTTTTGCATAGAAAAAAATTGATTTAAAAAGTTTTGCCGTTTTTGGCGGTCTTCTCGAACTTCTTGATTTTGAGACGCGTGTGGGCTATAGCCACAAATATTAAACAAATTATTATTAAGTAGTCTTAACGGCTAAATATTACGTAATTATAAATTAAACTAATGTTACACAAAGTGTGTAAAAATGATAAATTTTTCTCTTATGTTTACAAGTGCGATGTTTTTATTTATTAACTACTACAGTGAACTCAAGAAACGACCTATGGATAATAATTAACATTGAGCGTTGCACACAACAATGTCCAACATTTAAAATAGAACTTTCATACACTGATCACAGTGTCAAGTCAAACATATAAATAGGACATTAACAACTCTTAAACGTCAAATCCGTGTATAATAGAACTTATTAAATGGTCTACTCTACATTACGTTACGAACGAAATAACATCGGAAAGTAAATTTTCAATTGAATATTCATAAACGGCTAGTAACAAACTATTTCCACTAAATCTGAGCGACTTGACGTCATTATGACGTCGTAATAGTATTAGATGCCAAATTATGAATGTAGGAATATGTGACGACGGCTCCGCCCCTCAAATACATTGTTGTTACTTAATATAAATGAGTTTACTTTTTAACAAACAACATCAGTGTGTTCAGAATAAATAAAGAAACGTCTCCGCCACAAACCGCACTCGCCTCTGACAATATACAAAAAGCTAGTTTCCTCAAATCACGTTCCTTTAATTATAATCTACAAGCATTTGACTACAGTGACTGTAACAAAATTCATGACTGAAAACATTATCTTCGTAATCATAAGTGGTATTGTAGCTATTAAAATGGCTACGAAAATCTATTGGAAATCTATTTTATTAAATTGTATATTTAAATAAGTATAAGGCAGACTTTAGATTGTAGTATAGACAATAGTCTTGGAATCTAAATATATTGGAATTTATTTAATCTTTGGTCGCATTCTAAGTGCCTGAGGACGATTGCACTTAGGATATGTTTACGTATCGTAATAAATAATTATAGTTGTCTTTTTTTTTTCCTTTCGAAATAGGAAGAAAAAAAACTGCACTTGTCTTGAATATTTGTATGCTATTACACTATAGCTGATAAGGTGCTACTAGGTTTTGCAACTCTTTATCATCTTGTATATTCTGACACAAAGATAGCTGCTTAGGATCAAACCAATGAAGATACATTGGTTCTTTGTTTATTTTCAGCAGGGCATAAGGCTGCTAATTTGTTTGATATTGGTGTTGACAACTTATTTTTATTTTATAGATATACACATAAGTTAAAATCTAAAAATAAATTTAATTATCAAATTTCCTGCCAAAACGCTAACTTCTGTCATGGCGTCGCTATGACGTCGCAATGCATAAGGTGTAATTCTCTAACTTCTGGTATGAGTAAGAAGGGCGTAAACTCATGTGTTGTTTGCGTTCACCTGAAAACGAGTATTAAAATATTTGATTTTTATTAATTAATTCAAGCAATATTATATATATAATAAGCATAAAAGTGTCATTATCGGTCATTATATTAAATACTATCAGAAAAAAAAGTATTAATTTTCATTAACTGTTTACACCCTTATTATAAAATGTGAATTTGTTTACGTAGGTGATGTCAATCCTACTTCATGGAGACGCTGCGTTCGCCGGCCAAGGTGTTGTGTTCGAAACTATGCATCTGTCCGATCTACCGGCGTATACTACGCACGGTACAATACACATCGTGGTCAACAATCAGATCGGATTCACTACTGATCCTAGGCACTCGCGCTCGTCTGCTTATTGCACAGGTACTGAAATTTTACTAAAGTTACAAATTGCTCTTTAGCGATAATAGGGTAGTTTCGATAGTGAAAACAAGTCACGAAATTGCACAAAAACTAAAATTTATGTCGTAATAAACATAGAGATTTTGATTTTGTTTTTTAAAATCGCACGATTATCTTATTATCTTAAAACTAAAAGTCGAGCTACATTGTCTGTGTGTCACGTGACTTGAAACACGGCCCACCTTTGTGTGACGTCACTGTGGCGATAGTCAGATTAGTCTTAAAGATTTGCCTATTAATTATAAATCAAATACCTAGATGGCACTGTTTTTAGCTTATTTATATCTTTTTATTTCGTAATCGATTGTTGGATGGGTGAGAAGAAAATTATTTCGAGCCTCGACGTGCTTCAAAAGGCACGTTAAGTCGTTGACCCCGGCTGCATCTGCAGTCGTTGATATCCACCAATCCGCACTGGACCCATGACTCATCATGGCCCATTCTCCCTATTCGGTTTTATTCGATTCCTCCTATAGGGAAGGCCTGAGCCCCAGCAATGGGGTTATTTATAGGCTGGTAATGATGATGATTAATGTTAATATGTTATTGTTCAGATGTGGCCCGCGTAGTGAATGCGCCAATATTCCACGTGAACGGCGACAATCCTGAGGCGGTTATGCACGTCTGTAACGTGGCCGCCGAGTGGAGATCCACCTTCCACAAGGACGTGGTCATCGATATAGTCAGCTACCGACGCAATGGACACAACGAAGTAGACGAACCTATGTTCACGCAACCCCTCATGTACCAGAAGATACGTAAAACTAAACCAGGTATGTACAATTATATAGTCCAACTAGCTTTTGCCCGCGACTTCGTCCGCGTGGTAAAGTTACTTTGAGCAGTATTTATAACGAATATTTATTTATTCGTTCCATTAGGTACTGATAGGTTCAAATTAATACATTTACATCCTCCATCATCCCTTATTTTATCCCCATGGGGATTGAATTTATCAAAATCCAATTTAAGCGGACATCTTCATCATAGTAGCTCCAATCTTGAATTTTAGCTCAGTCAGTCGAAAATCTAAGTAGATTTATACAAATTTTCATCCCCTATTTTATCCCCCTTAGGATGGAATTTATCAATTTTTTTTCTTAGGGCCTGCGTCATAGTAGCTTTATGCATGCAAAGTCACAGCCCAATCGGTTTAAAATTGTCAAAATTTCATCCCCTTGGGGATAGAATTGATCAAAATCCTTCCTTAGCGGATGCCTACGTCATAACATCTACCTGCATATCCAATTTCAGCCCGATCCATCCAGTGGTTTGGGCTGTGCGTTGATAGATCATTATGTCAGTCAGTCTTTTGAATGTCGGGTTATACTACTCTGTCAAATTTCTCCAGTCGATTTTAGAGCTTAATGTTTTCAGGGTAGAATTTAAAATTAGTCTTATTAGTTAATTAATTAATTAGGATATATTATAACTGCTTTCTATAAGCTTATTTGAAGAAATAATAATTTTTCAATTATCTGAAATATTGTGGTAAATGTAGCTTAAAAACTTGGAGGAACTCTTTCCAATTATACTACTGAAGTACTAATGTTATAAAGAGGAAAGATTTGATTGTTTTCACTGAATAAGTTTCAAACATACTTTGTTGATTTAAAAAATTATTTCACCTAATGACAGTTACATGACACGTGAGTGACATAGACTATAATGTGTGCGGAGTCGCGGGAAGACAGCTAGTCTTGATATAAAAACAAAACTGCTGATTAGCCCTGCGATTCTCTAAAAATCCGAATTAGAATTCAGTAATTTGTCCGAATACAAGTATTTTGGTGTTTTTTTTTAAAGCGGCATCAGCATATACCTTGAATTGGTTATAAAGTTTCGTGGCATAAGTGAAGTGAATTTCGAAATGACATAGGAATAATTCTATTGCTGATATAAGAATATCTGCGACACGTTTAAATCAAAATTTTATACAAAAATGGAATCTAGAATTACAATTTCTATACTGTATGATGTGATTCGGACATATGAGTGAATTTGAATTCACAGAATCGCTTTGCTGATTTCCGTTTATGGGATCACCTCAGGACCATAACATATCGAGATTTGAAAATCTGTAAACAATTCGTGAAGAAATTAGACATTGAGCCTCCCTTTTTATTTTCTTGAGATTTTTTAAGGCTGCTAAAAATGAAGTTCGCTTCACAATGCATGTGATTTATACTCGATCACTTACAAATCAGAAGATCAGTAAAACTGAGCCATGGTATTAACTCATAGATATTTGCATATAAAAAATAACATTTGCGATATTGTCAAATAAAATTTTGTTTTTCAGTTTTAGAGAAATATGCCGATCAGTTGATTGCTGAGGGCGTTGTGACAGCAGAAGAAGTGAAAGACGTTAGGGACAAATACGAGAAGATCTGCGAGGATGCGTACAATCAAGCTAAACAAGAGACTCATATCAAATACAAGGACTGGCTTGATTCGCCTTGGTCTGGTTTCTTCGAAGGAAAGGACCCCTTGAAGGTCAGTTTTGACTTGCATATTATAAGAAAAACTTATTGAATATGAGTTTTTGAATGAATTTATTCTAAATTTATTTACATTAATGACTAGTAAAGTGATGATTAGATAATTTAAACATATTGAACTAAAGCTCTTGAGAATAGACAAAATATTAACATTTAAATGTTAAAAAATGTAACTATATTATTGGAGATCTTTCAACGCTTGTGGTACGAGTATCTATATACATTTTGTGTAGTTAACTTTTAAATGCTAGTCATCAGATTATAATATCACATTTCTATTAAACCGTTTTAAGAAATAAGTGTCGCCAGTAACGAAGTTTTTAAAATGATCACATAGGCAAGTCAACAAAGCTAAGCCAGTTTGAACCCTTTTGTGAAGTCTACTATTATATGTTTGTACAGATGTCAACAACTGGTGTGGTGGAAGAGACACTAGTTCACATCGGCAAGCGGTTCTCTTCGCCTCCCCCGAACGCGGCCGAATTCGAAATCCACAAAGGTCTCCTGCGTATCCTCAAGTCTCGTATGGAAATGGTCGAGAATCGAACAGTAGACTGGGCATTAGGAGAAGCTATGGCCTTCGGATCGCTACTGAAGGAAGGCATCCACGTACGATTGTCTGGAGAGGATGTAGAAAGAGGCACCTTCTCTCATAGGTAAGTAATTAACAGTAATCGAAACGAGTAGTTCTTTTTCTGCTTCTTAAGGTGGCATTGATTGCAAGGGACTGATGTGGTTTTGTGATTTTGTTGCCTTTTCTGAAAAGTGAAATAACTGATTTCTAACACGAGTATGGATATTTTCATTGATACCTTCTGTTTATTAAATGGATTAAATTCATATTTGTGTGTACTTTTGTGGTCTTTGAAACGAAAGAATTCTGCTATTTTGATCATAACTAATAAAGAGTTAATCTAGAGCAAGGATCAGTTTGTCTTTTTATGTCTAATATCGATTTTTCTTTTCTTGTTGTTTACCAAGTATTTGTTTTATCTCACAGACATCACGTTCTCCATCATCAAAAGGTTGACAAGGCTACATACTGTCCACTAGCACACTTATACCCCGATCAGGCACCTTATACAGTTTGCAACAGTTCACTATCGGAATATGGTAAGCGATTTCTGTACATTTATCAACTGTCTATACAGATTGTATGTTTTTACATGTTTTATCTATCGTTCGATACTTAACGATTACTTGTTCACAAAAACGAGTTTTCAAGCGTATTCTTGCTAACTCTTTGTATCGCAGATATATAAAAATGACAATGATATTACGTCGATGATCACTCTATAGGTCTAACAGCCAGTTGCTCAAACGTTCATTAAAATGTTCATTAGTTTAAAGCGACATTACCCATACAAATTTGACATTCATTAGAGCTTAAAGGCGTCATTAAACCTTAATGGACGTTTTTGCAACTGACCGTAAGTTCTTAAAACTATAATGGTCTTTAATTTTCATTTTGTAGGTGTGCTCGGCTTTGAAGTTGGTTACTCTGTGACAAATCCAAACGCCCTTGTGTTATGGGAGGCTCAGTTCGGTGACTTTAACAATGTGGCCCAGTGCATTATTGACCAGTTCATCTCCAGCGGTCAAGCCAAATGGGTTCGACAATCTGGCATCGTTTTACTTCAACCCCATGGTATGGAAGGCATGGTGAGTTTTTAGGTAAAAGACAGCAGAAACCTAAAAAGTTGGAAAGCTTTTCTAATGAATGCATAGTTAATAATGTAATGAATCATATTGCAATCAAATGAAGTTCAATTTAGAATAGTTTCGTGTCTTGGGTTGATTACAGATTATAAATCGCAAGTTAAATTGAAAAAATAAAAATTATTTTAATAAAATAAATACTAATAGTTTTTGCTTACATTTAAGTTACCATTTTCATAATATTTTTTAATTTATTGTTATAATTGTCGATTGATTTAGATGTATTTTTGAAGAAAGTAATTAGTTAAACTCATTTTCGAATAGTTGTTTTCCTTGTTTTTGATCGATTTGTGTAATACTATGGCGATTTTTTTATTTATTAAAATCACTAATATTTGCCATGTATCTATTTATTTCCCAGCTTTTGTTGGCTATATACTCTTTCTTTTAATCAGGGCCCCGAACACTCCTCAGCCAGACTTGAAAGATTTTTGCAAATGAGCTCTGATGATCCCGACTACATGCCACCAGAGAGTCCCGACTACGAAGGTCGGTATTGACACAGATATTATAATATGTTCTATACTTATCAATGTCAAATATTATGATATTATATTTTAGGTAAAATCCCCTCCCCTTTGGTGATACATAGTGAGGTTTAAGTCTAACCTATATTATATTCTATTATATGCAATTCTATTTCGATTTTTTTTGTATTGTATAAGTGTCCTAATAGACTTTATTTACTTGTTGTGTAGCATCTTTTGATTGGTAGAGAATGTCTACTGGTATTCAGTCCGCCATTTGTACGCTTTATTTGTGCAAAGAAGTTTAAATAAATTACTTAATATTTAGGCAAAAAACTCAGGATTTCGATCCTATTTTCTATATATGTCTGGTTTTCCTCCACAAGCTAGTGGAGCAAAGCAAAACATACGTAGGTTAATTATCAAGAACTACAAATATCCATACAAAGCCTTAAAGCGGTCACTAGTGAACGAGACGTCACAAAACTTACACTTAGAACTCTGATGATTCCGTAAAGGATGTGTTTCGTATAAAATTCCATTTATTTTGTCTTCTAGTCCGTCAACTGCATGATTGCAACTGGATCGTGGCCAATTGTTCTACGCCCGCTTCATATTTCCATATTTTGAGAAGACAGATCGCGTTACCTTTCCGTAAGCCACTGATTATCATGACGCCCAAATCTCTGCTGCGTCATCCAGAAGCTAAATCCTCATTCGACGAGATGAACGAGGGCACGGCATTTAGAAGGTAAGATTTTTCTTGAAAAATTTCATAATTATCAGTATATTCTGCTACTGGGGCTTAGGTCTTCCTGCACAGGGAAGGGTTTTTATGTTTTTTTTTTTTAAATAATCATGCATACAGTGAGTTTTAAGGAATTTCAAAAATACATACTACCGTGCGTTAATACGTTTGTTTACTGAATGTCGTAAGGAGTACAATCTTTGATAACAAAATCTTAATAGTGTTCGATCATTATAGTAGAAATAAGGCGACCACTAAAAGCTTCTATAACGAAACGCATACTGATTTGTTTTAGACTTATCCCTGAAGAGGGCGCTGCGTCCAAGAATCCTGGTAGCGTTCGCAAACTGGTGTTCTGTTCAGGACGTGTTTACTATGATCTGCTGAAGCATCGTCGTGACCGTGGATTAGAAGCTGACATTGCTATTGCAAGGTAATGTATTCAAACATTGACAAAAGTAATATCGTTTTGAATTTAGTAAAATTAAGACCCTGGGTATAAAAAAAGATTATATGTACCATAAAATAAAAGTATTCCTTTGCGTAATGGGAAAAATATCGAATTTTCCGAATATTTTAGCTTATATATACGTCAGATTATAAAATTCAATAATGTTTTGCTTGAACAATTGACATAAATGTTACGTAACGGTAACGATACTATTGGCGGGATACTGTTTGCCGGATAGAAGGCCAAGCTTTTAACCAAGAAGCACTGTGACATATTCATAAGCGACCTTTTGTTTATGGACTTGTTGAATTCCTCTCTTAATGCTGGCTGTTGTTGTCACTTATGCAGACAAATCCAAAATTTGACATCAGAATGTGCATTAACTAATTTGTATGCTATTGTACTATAGCTGAATAGGTGCTACTACTTTTGGGTATTGCAATAAACATATGATTCTATTCAATGCTAAGTTGAAGAATGAAAATTCTTTAATTTTCACAATAGTTGCCCGATACCAGTTTCATATTATTGATTATGGTATATTAGATGAACATCCCATATTTGAATATACAAATTTTGTTTTAGGGTAGAACAAATATCACCGTTCCCGTACGATCTGATCAAGGCAGAGGTGGCCAAGTATCCTAACGCTCAATTAGTTTGGAGTCAGGAGGAACATAAAAACATGGGCTCTTGGAGTTACGTCGAGCCGAGGTTCCGTACGCTATTGCAGAACCAGAAGCAGATCTGGTAAGGAGCATAAACATTATTATGTAGTGTAATAAATGAAATATTCTTTATTGCACCGTTTAAATATTTCTATGAAGTATCGTCAACAGCACGTCAGGATATACAAAACTGTCAAATTTCTCCAGTTGATTTTAAACCTTTTGTACAGTATAAGGAGAGTTCAAAATCAAAAGAAGAAATTTTACATATTATGGTAGCCTGACGTGCAGTATTTACATAAAACTAAATATATAAATGCACAAGCCTCATTTGCTATGGTTAACGACTCTACCTGGTGTAATGATAATAGTACTTAATACAAGTGACCACTTAAAGGGGATTTTTAAAAATGTGGGATACATCATGGGTCCAAAAGCTGTACGGCCGTCCGCTCATTATTTATTTAGAATCTTGGTAATTGCATTAAGTTTTTAATTAAAATTATCAGAAAATGGACAAGTAGTCATAAATAAATGACTTGCATTTCTTTTATCCTAAGGTTACCACGGGAGTGCTATAGTGTAGAATGGGGTGTGTTAGTTACTAATAAACACTGAAAAAAGGGTCTTATTGAGAGTGCTATTTCTATGGCTTTCTGATAGTGTCGTCATAAAATTGCATTCTGAATATTAGAGACGAGTCGTGTACTCTTTGTTTCTCTCATTATAAAACCCTATAAGATAGATGCGTTAATAACAGCATAGATTAAGATATGCAATGAAATTTTGTGATGTTGACGCATCGCAATAGATGTTTTAATTCTCGTTTCTTATATTTCAACGGTGCGTAATCAAAATAAACGTTAATTTAAAGTACACTAAAGTATATTTTGATTACACACTTACTTGTGAGCATCAAAATATTTTTCAGTTTTTGCTAGTATTGCACGGTTTTCGAATACAAAATATAAAAGGTTTATGTAGGTTTTTTTAACTAAGTACTTAAGTAGTGTTCGGTGAAATTGGTGTAAAACTTTGAACCTCTCTGGTATGGAATATGTTTGTGTAATTGACTTTATGAAGAGTTGTAATGAGGAAGTATTAACAAAAAAAAAAAACATTAGTTTCCGAAATCAAACTAGATGTCGCTACGGTACTTTCTTGATTTCTCCATGACAACCCTTCCGATTTTCTTTCATGTATTAAAGTAAATTAATTTTCAAAACTCAATAAACAACTCTTATTCTATTTATACTTTTTCGTGTATGTATTGATTTCTAGGTTTCGACCTTTGCAAATTTCAGTTTTTTAATATGTTAGTTAAAAGGAACGGAAATGGCTATCTTTGGTCCGATCATTTCCTGCAAAAATCAACTTTTGGTAGAGTCGCCAATTAGTGAGTAGTAGAGCTTTTTAGTGCTTTTTCTTTTTAAATACTTCTTCATTGATTATTAATTGTAAATTTTGTATACAAACGACATTCCAGCTTTTGCAGTTGCTAATTATTGTTAAAGGCAGGGTGTTCTAGGCAGGCAATAAAGGCTAATTTAAATTCAAGATGTTCTTCAGTGTTATTCTAATAAATCGATCTGTCACATCGTCGAAAATTATTTTATTTTATCTACAAAAATAAGTATACCTAACAAGTAAAAACCAATAAGTAAGCTCAATAAGCTCGGAATTAATAAAAACTAATGTTATATCGAATAACTAATAATTGATCGAATAATTATTTTATGACGTTATAAACTGCTGTTGCTGTTGATAATAAAAATAATTAGTAGGCGAACGTAACGTAAACATTATGTGCCAGAGCGAGATATGACTTGGTTTATTGTGGTAGTGAAGTTTACAATTTGATATTTTACATACGTCCAATGTCCGCAATTTATATTTTGCTTTGTGCATGCGTGTATGTTCTCTTTTTTATTTTTCCGTGTTTTTTCCTGCCGTTATTTATGCATTTATTTATTCATATTCAATGTCAAGAGGAATTAAAAATAAAATGCATTTGATATTTGAATGCTGAATCACATGTCCACATCAATTTGTCAATATTTGTTATTTTTATGTGTCATACATGTGCTTGCATGAATTAATTATTATTCATCATCTAACAACTGCTCAGGTACCTTTTCTTTTCATTATAATTATCTTTCTTGTGTAGAATTTTATTATTTAAACGCCGCTTATATTTAACCGCTTACATTGCGATAATTTAACCGGCTTGGTTGCAGGCCAAAGTCCAAATCGCAAGGGGGTAGTTGGTTTAGTCAACTGTTCGGCAGCGCCCCACAAACTGTAGATTCGGACTCTGAACCTGTACCACGCACCATTAGGTGAGATTAACGTAACTTGTACTGCATAATGATTGGCTTGTTTGTTAATGTATCCTCCTTTTTAGCGATTATTGACGTAATAGGGGTGTAGACAACTTTTTTATACATGAAAGATATAAAAAATAACATATATATAAAAAAATATCATTCATATAATAAGTTAAAATGTAATAACACATTTATTTTTCATGTCCCGCGAAAACGCCACCTGTCTTTGCGTCGCTATGACGTCACGTCCCTCTCAAACTAATGTTCTATGTAATTATGTATGCATAAGGTTTAATTCTCTAACTTCTAATATGAGTAAGAGGGGCGTGACTTCACGCGCAGTTTGCGGTCACGTGACAACGAGTATAAAATTTATGTTTCATGATTAATTTCAAGCAATATAATAAACATAAAAGTGTGATTATTTGTATTAGTATATTAAACACTACCAGAAAAAAAAGGATTCATTTTCATTTACTGTCTACACCCGTATTATTATAATGTCACTTGTTCGATACTTACACCCGGTGTCTGTATTGATAATTTAAAGATAAGCACGTTCAAACTGTACTTAGATGCCACACAAGGTTTTCTTTTCTGATTTTAGTTTATTTTAGTGATCACTTAATAGCAGTTTGATAAAACTAGGACTTATGGCCTTGTGATATATAAAAAAACTTAAGTAATTGAGAATATTCAGTTGAAATTTTGTACTTTTCTCAATCTTTATGCGGTACACGTTGTCTGACGGTGCTATGGAATGCTTTATGTGTTTGTGTATAACCACATTTTAATTTAATCACGATCTGTGCTTCTAGATATCATTGCCTAAACTTTACTATCACGTCTGTGTTATTTTATAACATCCTTACTGTAAGTACTTGCTTTTTTTCTATTGCTTTTTTAGCTTAGAAGATTGAGAGCCGGTTTCACCGGTTGCTGATAAAGTCCCTGATAGTCTATCAGGAACTTATCTGCCAGATAAACTACAACTTTTGATTTCACAGGTCTCGGATAACTATATCTGTCAGATAAAGTATTAGATATGTTATCAGCCGATTCAAGTGGCTGATATAGACGTTATCTGATAGATAAAAAAAAGTTTCAAGTGACGGGATCGAAAATAGTTTTAGTTTTAGACCATTATTGTGTGCTTTGCGTTGATTGTAGTCACAGGTGTCATATTCTAAAATGGATTTATTTGTGTTTTTAGAAGACGAATTAGATAAATATTTCGAACGTATTACGCGACCCCGTAGGAATCGAGTAATTAACCCTAGACCTAATTATTTAGAATCACTTGACGTTCAAGATTTTAGGAATCGATTTCGGCTGTTGTTTATATTCTATCGTTAATAGACAGTGATATAAAAACCACAACGGGCTACTAAGTAGAAAATCTCCGTTAACTAGTAAATAAAGAAGCTCCGTTTCTACTTAATTAAAATTCACACTTCTTTCACGTTTTTGTTCTTTCATTATTAATTAACAGATCCAAAAAGAATACACAAAGAAAAGTTTAAAAATTGAAAAGCGTCTTAAGTACAAAATATCAACAAAGCAAAACAAATGATAGTTGCGTTTCGTTTCTGTAAACACGTAGCTAAGTATACGAATATCGTATTATTTTCATTCTAGAATCATAAAATTATAATTCAAAATATATGAAAAAAGTTTATTTAAATAATATTGAACACAAAAAAAATATTAATTAAGTTTTAAAAATGATTTTTGATTGACGATAATTTGGGTCGTAGTATTGAAACGCAAAAAAGCGACGTTGCCGTTCCGTCAACTAATAAGTGGCCGATAACTTATCTGCCAGATAAATTATCTAGCAGTTTGATGGTGAAACAGAAAAAAGTTAACAGCAACCTTTATCCAGTAGATAGCGTTAACTATCAGATAACTATCTGAAACTTTATCAGTAACCGGTGAAACTGGCCCTAAACCTTTTGCGACCGTATATAACTGTAAAAACGAATTCATGTCATATTTAACATGAATTATGTTCCGTCCACACGATGCGGATATTTTGTGGCTGCGTTAAGACGAGATGAAAACTTTGTACGTTATGTCTAGTTGATAGAGTTGAAATTTGACAATTCAAAAGCAAAAGCGTCAAAAATCAATAAGTAAGAAGGTTTTCACTTCATCTAAACCAGTTGGTGCGTCTTGTACGTGGTGACTGCATGAAATTACGCCTCACCATTAGGTACTTGTGAAGAATTTGATTGCTATGGCCTAGTCGATAGACCTCAAATTTGTAATGCATGGATATTAAGATCAACGTGGCTAGTACGCTATCACCGCGTGGCGACGCAAGAAAGTTTTCGTGCTCCTTTAATCCGAATTTAGTTTTATTATTCTATTTCATGGATTCATTTTGCTCATATCTTTCTCTTTTCCTCGTAACGCTTCTAAATCCGAACTCGCTATAAACATAAACAAAATAGATGACTCCATGAAAAGTGGAAAGCTACTTTTTTATACTATTAGGTTGGGGAAATTTTTCTTCTCATTTTATATGAAAATTCAAAAATATTTTTCAATAAAGTTATTTATATTTAACAAGAGAATGTAAGTACCATTTTGTTCGATAACTTTTGGCCATCTTGTAGGTAGGTACATAATCCTATTGCTATAGAAAATTTAGGGCCTCTCATCAAATAGTGGTTTTGGCAGTCCTCGCGCGATTTAAACCTGCCTAAAGAATTCTGAAGAGACCGAAGCAGGTGGAAATCTGAAGGTCAGGACTATACGGCGTATGCATTAACACCTCCCAGCCAAATTCTGTTATTTTGCTGAGTGGCAACAGATGTGTGAGGTCTAGTGTTATCATGATGAAAATCCACGCCCCTTCTATTGATTAATTCTGGCCGCTTTCTCTCAACATCTTGATTTAATCTTATCAGTCGATCGCAGTAAAGTTTAGAATCGACGCTCCTGTTTGGCGGTAACAGCTTATAATGCCCTTCCAATCCGTCCATACACACAGCTTCACCTTGTTGCGAGTTAACCCGAGTTTCACCACAGTCTGTGAAGCCTGACCGACTTTTGACTACGATCTTTATCGCACGTTCTTGTCGTACGTGATCAACTTTTCATCACCAGTTATCAGCTTCTTCAAAAATGGTTCGGTTTCATTACGCCGTAATAAAGAATCACAAATGACTTCATTAGGTTTCTTTTAGTGAGCTCCAACTTTTTTCAAACGCGTCAAAGCTGTTTTGTGGTCAATCCCCAGTTCTTCTTAATGTTCCTCCACTTTTTCAAAAATGGCATCCATTTTATCCGTAACAGGGCGACCGGAGCAATGTGCATCTTTGACATCAAAATTTCCGGACTGAAAACGCTTAAACCAAATCTATGCTACCCTCATAGAAACTGCACTTAGTCCATAAACGTCATAAATTTTTTGAATTTTTACCTTTTTTTTTTAAGAAAAAAAAATAAAAAGTGTCGAATTTATTCATTATGATCAATCATTTTGACAGTAAGAAAAATGAAAATCACACAATTTCCTAATTTGAGTTCGGTGTTATCTTCTTTAAAATTGAAACTTTTTAATGATACCGAAACCAACGAGATAGAAATGGTACCTGCCAGAAAGATTTTTTTACAAGTTTATGCATACTATATGCGAAAAGACTTCCCCTACCTAATTAATATCTATAGAAGTAATAATTTGCAAGCTATCGATTCAATTTATATATAAATAGAAAATAACATTGTATAATGAATAGGTTATGTCAATTGTCTTTTCCTGTCTTCTTTAATTAAGTACAAACTGCAGCATATAAAATAACTATATAAGGTCAAGTTTCTACAACCAATTTTGTGGAACTGTTTAGATTATTATAGACTTATTGAGGCCAATTTCCTATTACTGTATGTATTGTAAGTCAGTCGGTATATAGACAGAACAAACATAAGACCTGTGACTAAACAAAAACAAACTCTCATTTTTTTTTAAATAGCGTAATAATACCAACCAAATATTCAGGTTTATAAGGCTTAATGGATAAGTGCAGTTGTCTAATTATGACAAAAAATGTTGGGACTACCCAAAAGAACTTGTAATATGTTTATTTGAATATTTTTTTTTCTTTATATGTTCAAATAAGTATTAAACACCGATTCCACACATGGCAATATTTATTTGGTCACATAACAACCATTCTGTATTATCACCAATCTATTAATATCCCCACTGCTGAGGCATAGGCCTTCCCTTTGGATGGAATCGAATCGAATAGGGAGAATGGGCCATTACCCACTACGCGGGTCAAATGCGGATCGGTGGGTATTAACGACTGCAGATGCAGCCGGAACCAGCGGCTTAACGTGCCTTCCGAAGCACTGAGAAGTTCGAGATAATACATTTTTGGTTACCCATCCTTTGATCGGTCATTGCTAAAGTTGCTTAACAATCATACCGCAGACTGAGCACGCTAGCTACTGCGCTATCGAGCCTTCATATGTATTCACGCGCGATGACGTGAAAACAACGCGCGTTTGCGTGAAAAATGTGGAGCAATTTTTCGCGGGTTTGCAACTTGTTAATTACTTATTTGTCGGTTTTTTGCCCGCGTTATAGACCTTGTGACCGTGTGAAATCTGCGTTAATACAACAGACTACATTTGCGTTTCTACTCCCTTTTCAATTTATTTTTAACTTTTAATGTAGACAACATAGTGATACGCAAAAAATCCATATTCATCGATCGAGCGAACTATTGTGTGAATACAACTAGAGTTTATGAGCGATTTTTGCTGCGATTCGCAATTCCGAATAGGGATGATGCTAATTTTTATTTGTTTGTCTGTCAGTTAGATTATAAAGAATATTTAAACACATTTTTTTTGTAATCTAGAAATTACCGCTATAATAATCTATAAATTAACTCAATGTGACGTCATACCCCTCAACGCCCCTCAACTTTAATGCCTAAGTGCGAATCTAGATCGCCCTTAAATCTTCACATGTCTGGCGCAGGGGTTAGGAAAATAATGAACAAAATGACCCTAAGTTTATCTCAACAAATATTGACATAGCATTCTGAGTGGAAAACTAATTATAATAATGGATTGTCTTTGTTCGTTTATAGTTACAACGGAAGGCCAACAGCCGCATCTCCAGCCACCGGCTCCAAAGCAGCTCACAACAAGGAGTTGAGGAATCTTCTCGACGAGTTTTGCGTATTATAAAGAAATCCACTACCATCCTGCCATAACTTCTCCACTTAGATACTTTCACTTTAGGGTCGCCATCGCATTTTGAACTCTCATTTATACATAGAACTAATAAAATTGTCCTTACTTTCTGTTTCGTTTATATCTGTTTCTTTCTTCCAAACGCTTTTAAAGATGGCGACCATTACCGAATTTACATTACACACTCATAACAATATTATAAAAAAATTGAGTCTCGATACGAAATTTATCTTTGACTATTTTCAATTTACGAAAATTATCATTATTTTTTTATATGCTTTTTTTGAATCGTAACTTTGGTTATTTTCGATACTGTCAGTATTTTGTTATTATTCTCCTCACGATTAGGTAGACTAGTTAGATAGAAATCTTATTTATTTATTGTAGCTTCGTAGCTTAGCCATAACACGTCATTAGATTTCGAATTATTTATTGAACTAGTTAAAGCAATATAACATAGTTTCACTTAATATTACTTAAATGTATCCACATTGTTCGATCGCGAAATGGGCGTTTAAGAACGCTTATATTTTTTTTGTACAGTATAATAATGTTAAAAACGTTTTATTTTCGTATATATTTATATATAATAAATCTAATATATTATTGTCGTCGACAAGTTGAAGTTAATGCGTTCCTTTTACTAGTCCCGACGATTTTATACAAATTGTTCGTAATCTGTAGGGTTAAAAAACGAGATTTTACGGGCCTATAAGTAATGTCTTGTGATCAAATATTACGTACACAATACCTGTTACGTACATTTATCGACAGTGACTCGTCGGTAACGCACCGCCTTGTCTCACAATATAGGGATTCGTTTAACGATATTGTCTACGAGATATTATTAGATAGTTGTACATGTAGTTGTAGTATTTTGATTAAAAACACCCTAGTACATATGTTTATTGGAACCTGCGGTCGTTATATTTTGCAACCGGCTTGATCCAGTATAGAATGATGTTGAATAATTGCATAGAATAATGTGAAATTGATGTGCAATCACCGTGAATATCTGTTTAGTGAACTTTTATTATGCAGAGCAACTTTAATGCTATACGAAAAATATCTACAGCCATTAAAAGCAGCTGATTGAAAAAAAAAACTTAACATTATAAAAAAGGTTACGCTACAGTTGCGAGTGTGCTATGCATAAAACAGTTAATTATTTGTATAGGATCATTTACATTATTCTATCCTTTAATTACGTGTTTAGGTTTAGTTCGCATATAGTTACCGTCGTTCTGAACGACCTTTGTAAGGAGTAACACCAACGTCAATGCTTTGTATAAACCAATGCGTATTATTGTCATTACCTTAATCTGTACGTAGAGTTAAAATTTAAACGATGTTTACGTATAAAAATTTACTGTTGACACTTTAACTAGTTTCTGATATTGTATAGTTAGTTAGCTTGTACAATCGTTCGATGTATCTGAATATTAGCTTTCTAACACATTACCCATGTATTAAATGCACTGCAACTGTTGTTTGATTTCATAATTTGTATGTTTACTTATTTTGGAATTGGCTCGGGACGATAGAAGATTACGGAATGTTATGTTTGAATGTGATGCCTGTTTGGAAGTTTACCTGAGCTCCTTTATTGCTGTTAGTTTAATTAAAATAAATTAATTATGTATACAATAATTTATCTTTTATTTGTACTGCTACCTTATTAACCGTGAAACCTTTAGGAGCAATATACCAGCATTCGTATCGGAATCAGTGCCAAGTCCTTCCTCCGTTGAATCATAATTAACGAAAAATGCGTTTCGCTATTAGACGACATTTTTTATTCTAAGAAACAGAGTGAGCATGTTGTTAGACAGCTAGGTATAGGCTTAGCGATCGCTATTTAACTATCACACTCATGTTCCAATTTCTAAAGTAAAATGTTAGTCGATTCAAATGTACTTTTAACTCCTTTACTTCATAATTATTAGCCTGTCTGGGAACAAGTATTCCCTATGGATTTAATCAAATATGTATAACGGACCATAGTCAATCATGTGGCCATAGTACGAATTGGTGTGTATTAAAGACTGCTTATGTATCTAGGATCAACGGCTTAACGTGCCTTCCTAAATAAGGATGAGCTCGAAATTATAAATTACGGGTCACCCATCATATAATCGGTCATTGCGAAAGTTGCTCAACATGCGCATCGCAAATAGAACACGCTATTGATTGCGTCATCGAGTACTTCTAATCGGCTAATTTGTTTAAAGTATTTGATATTTTAGTTAGGATTTCAATAATAACAAATTTAAATGAGCTAGTGTATCCAAAAAAAAAAAAAATTCTGTTTACAAAGAACATTGTAATAAATAATACCCTGTAATTATACGTTACCCAGAATTAACATAATACCAATTTCAAACTGCTTGCATTCAATGGAATTCTCTCCGCTGTTATTTTAATGGGAAAGGCGTGAAATAGCCTTTGAATGACGCTATCATAGATTCTGCGGAAGAAACCCACGCACATACAAAACGTATCTCCTAATGAAAAGCGCAATAGATCAGGGTGCCCTTGACGGCTGCCGCCGCCGGGTTGCCGCATACTTGGAGCACATTCAAGATCCTTATCGGCCGCTAGTCTCATTTCAGCTCACAAAGCGTTCCGGCTGCCCTATTTATAAACCGCTTGGCTAGCGTTGCGACGAGCGCGGACCACACGAAAAGGTGCGAAGATTAAAGATCGTATCAGCCCCAAGTGCGTTTTACACGTGGCGAGAAACACTTCAAAGACGCGCTTGTGTAAACGCTGCTTATTGTGCGCTATTCTTTTCTTGAATGATTTTTTTTAAACTAGGCCTTCCATGCGGGTTGCGTTAGTGTTCGATGCGTAGTAAAAGCTGAAGATTATACAAGACGAAATGAGATTGATTGATAGCAAAGACGAATCGCTTTAATTGCATTAGTTAATTTCTTTTTTTGTTAAAAAAAGAACAGACTTCAAACTTTTAAAAAGTGATATATAATAAATAACACTCGTCTTAAAAGAGACTTTATATAAAACAACTGCCATTGAAATCGGATTGAGGTTTTCTGTAGGATATTATTAATTAAGTGATAGCCGCCCGAGTAATTAAGTGAGATAAGTCGCTTTAATGATAAGTTATAAGTTGTATTAATTTATTGAAAAAATTTATTTTTTTAAATATTTTAATAATATAATAGGTAACACCAAAAATATTAAATATCTATATAAAATGTATCAACATAGTGAACGTCTTAAGAAAGGAGATTTTGTTTATTTGCTCGACATATTTTTATCCAATAACCTATACTCATATTAAAAAGAGGAAAGATTTGATTGCTTGTTTGTTTGCATTGGAAAGGTTCCGTAACTATTGGGCCGATTATTAAATTCTTTCATATACGGGAAGCTACATAATACGCAGGGGATATTGACAGCTACAAACTAGATGTAACTACACTCCATTCATTATAAGTTATAACATTAGAAAAAAGAGGGTCATAGAAGCAGCAGTGCAGAACATTTTATTTTCAAGATAAATTTAAAAAATATACATTATAGTTTTGTTGAAACTTTGAACGTTAGATAGTCTGAAAGAGCCGAGCATTTTCTATTTTTTACGATATCTCGGGTTTGAGATGAGGCCAGCATTTTCTAAATTCTTCTTTTACTCCCAAGCCAACATGGAATTAAAACTATCTATCTGTTGATTTGATTATAATTAGAATATAATTTAGTTATATCTATGTCCGGTAAAGAAAGGTGAACAAAATGGAATTTTTATTATTACTTTTATGACATCTATTCAGACATTAGACTATTGGTGAAGACATTGAAAAAACTTCTTGAAATGTCAAAGGTTGGTAGGTATGGGGGCTTAGAGCGTAATTGTTGTAGGCCACTCGGGCCTGCACCGGCATCGTCAATATTTAATACAACTTAACAATAAAAACAAAACTAATATAAAACAATAACAACTTAATCACGGAAAATGGAAAAACAACAAGAAAAGCAGTAGCATTCACAATGGATGACATTCCCAGATTACGTATTTTGACAATTATGAATACATCTTAATCTGACAAAATTAAAAAACTGTACTGCCGAAACGTTTGAAAGGATTAGGCAACGTTTTAAATTTGGTAGAATTATAGTGACATTAGAATCGTTCCGAAACAATCCAACCCTGCTTCTTTGGGTTCTTTAAGATGAACACTTTTTATCGTAATAGTTATTTAATCATTTAAGTTAATCAAATACTCATAAATTTGTTTAATAGATTGCTTAAATGAAAACAGTTAAGTATAGCAGCTGGTATTTAAGTGAATATGTAGTTAATTAGCCGTCAGTCTTAAGAGTAAAATAATTATTGATATTTTGTCACAAAGTATACCATAAAAAGAACCTTATTCAACTTCTGTCTAATGCTATAATTAATGGAGTATAGTGTATTGAAATTGGTTAACAATTCAAGAAGAAATCAATGCACATAACTACTTTTGTAAATATATATATAGGAGAGATGACCCGGTTTTCACCATTTCAATATTATGAGCTAGTTTTGACCCCTTTGACAGTTATGACGAAGTGAACTTTGATACGTCGTAGCTGTTAACGCAATTATTTTTGCCATATTGAAATATTTTGAAAACCGTTCACGGTAAATTAATATGTTTGTCTATGCGTTAGTTCGAACGCTTTGAAGTTCCGGATAGAAAAACCGGGTATTCTACCCTACCCGTTGAACATAGAAAATCCTCCTTTCGGGTTTTAAATGAATGCATAATACGCGATCTTTTATTTTTTGGCTTATATAAACATGTCATCAATATATTTAGGTGATATCTGACGGAAAGCGTATTTTGTTTTGTTATAAAAAGAACACTACTGATTCGATTTCGATAAAATTTAAATAGGACTACTTCGGACCATTAAGCTTTGTAATCGGTCAATAACAAGCGGAAAATCCGTAAACATACATTATTATATAAAGTACGAGAATAGTAAATTCTTTATAAAGCCGTTCGCGTGAAACGTGTCTATAATGTAGTGTAAATTAATATACGTACGTATATTTATTTCTACTATAAAAAAACGCTTGGGCATGAATGGGCCGGCTCGACCGGAGTGATACCACGGCCTCACAGAAAACGTGAAGCAACGCTTGCGTTGTGTTTCATCGTGTGAGTGAGGGTACCGGAGGCCCAACCCCTCCCTATTCCCTTCCCTCTACCCCTCAACCCTTCCCTCTAAGGCCGGCAGCGCGCTTGTAGCCCCTCCGGTGTTGCAGGTGTCCATGGGCGACGGTAATCACTTACCATCAGGTGATCCGTATGCTCGTCTGCCCCCTATCCCATAAAAAATATATATATATATATATATATATTTTATTTAGTTACAGTTTTATTATGAGCCTATCAATTTCCCCACTGCTGGGGCACAGGCATTTGCAGGATAGTGAGAATGAGACCTACCACAAGGGCCGATTACAGATTTATAGGTGCTTGCTGTGTTGCATGAGATAATAAATTTTTGGTCATCCATCCTATGACCGGCAATAGGGATGATGACTGGGTAAAAAAAATGCAATTCTCTTTAGTCCGTCAGTCAGATAATAGAAAAATATTAGATACGTATTTTTTTTTTTTACTTCAATTTAACAAGAAATTGCTTAGATAACAGGCATTAAAGTTGAGGAGTGGGGGCTCGTTACGTCACAGTTGAGTAGAAAACGTACCCTAACGTGACGTCATGCGAAATTTCAACTCCATGTAACGCCGTAATTTAATGATTACGTAAAAAATAAAAATATACGTGTTTAATATTATTTTAACACTACCTGACGGACAAACAAACAAAAATTAGTAATCATCCCTATTGTGAAAGTTGCAGACGAACGAGATATTTGGACGTTAATTGCCGTATTTGTTATAAAAATAGGTATGTAGTACGTACAAGGATAAATTAAAACATTTCTGAACTTAATCAAATTTTACTGGTGAGTAGTTTAAAAAAAATAACAAGTGCAATCAAAAATATTATTAGGATAATACAGATAAACAGAAACACTTTAATTTTATTTAGACTTAAATTTTTACTATTACTAACGAATTATTTAAAGTCGGATTAAAATTGCAAATCCCGAGTCCCGTCTCGCGGCTTAAAGTACGCTAAACGTTCCGCAAAGGGATTTCACTCTAAACTAAAATGTCATCCTTGAGGACTGCAATCCGGGGAAGTACACCACTTCCTTATTTCTCTTAGAAGGCTTAGTCCTTTGTTTCGGTTAGTTCCCTGTGCGCCTTTAATATTTTGTGATGATAGCACAATGGCGTCTTGCGGGGACGAGATGAGCTCTCACTTGTGTTTCCTCTTACTTTTCTACGTTAAACTTTACTACGTTGACGATTTGTGCGTACATTTTCATACTTGTAATGTTTGTTGTGACGTATTTTTTGTCGAGATTTAACTTCGAGATTAATTGAAAATAATCCCAGTTTCTATTACCGGTCGGGTCATTGTAGAAAATGAACTATTTCATATTGTCTCGGGTCTGAGTGTTGTGGTACCTTCGTCGTCTCAGATACTCCATAATACGGGGGCTACAGCTACTCACTTTGGAAAA